ACAAAAGGTGTTTGTGAATGTTTGGCAGCCCAGCTGATTTATAATCAGTGCAAACAGTTCTGTAAAGACAGGCCCCATTTGGATCATTCTTTCATTCCATGACTTACACGTGTTTATTTCACAATGGAACCCACTGGTAGGTCCTTACATGGAATGGAAACCAGTATTGCACCCCATATTTGCCTTTGGGGGTTAATCACGATCAATGCATCCATTATTAACTGTTGATCAGCAAAATCAGATGAAGGCAAACACATGCTGTGCACATTTAAAGCATCAAAAACATTCGGACAGTGGGCAAGCAGGACGGCCATGATGCAGAAATAAACTATTCCAAGTTGTTTTTTATAGATTTGCTTCAGAATGACAAATAGAAACAGCAGGAAATGTTTGTCTCTCTTTTTAAGCTGTCATAACTCATAACCCAGAGGCTGTAGTGAGAGCCAGCTTTCTTTCCTCACTCAGTGCGGACAATAGTAGTCATCACCATTCTCTTTGACACTTTTAGAATACATTGCAGAGAGGAGAAGTGACGGAAATGTTTTGCACTGCATCAAGAGACTGATGAGGCTGACAGTCCTAATGGTGACGGCCAGCATTTGAAATGAATACTCCCATTCTGTTTCCAGTGAGCTTCTGCACTCATGTACCACAACACGAGTCACTTCTGTGGGTTTTGGGCTCAGTTTACAGCTTTAGCACAAATCTTTTAAAGAGAGCAATTTAGAACTTGAAGCCAAAGTCGTTTGCATGTCCGTAATTACCACCCTAAATATTTTTGTTGCAGTTCAGAGGGTTTGTCCAACTGTCACAGTGGAGTAAGTTTAAGCTCTATACTTAAACCTAGCATTATTTCTTAATGCTAACGTAATTAAAAAAAAAAAATATATATATATATATATATATATATATATATATATATATATATATATATATATTATATATATATATATATATATATATATATATATATATATATATATATATATATATAATACTATTTTACCTTTATTTTATCAGGATAAAAACCCATTCAGATTAAATATCTTTCTCCTTCATCAGATGCCGATTGCATTCTTGTTGTTGTTACACTATAATTGCATCAGAAGCATAAATATTTAATAAATGTTTGCACTTAAGCAAAGAAATGCTAAAAATTTCATAGTTTCAGATGCAATTTGAAAATTGAATTTTGCTGCTGCATAATGTTGGAATGAAGCTTCAATTATGGAAAAGCTGCGTTTTTGTTCTGACATGAGTACTGAAGTAAATTTAGACGTTTGTTTGAAAAAGACGTCGCGTTTTTTCATTTTATTGCTGATGCTGACTTCAGACCAACCCACAGAGCTGGTACAGCTTTGACAGTTTACATAAAGTTGACATGGTGAGGGTTAACGTTCATATGAAAACCATTCAGTAATTACATCAATGCTATTTGTCGTTGTTTATGCCACTTATGGTTTTTGGGCATTGAATCATTTTGTTGACACTTTTCATAAGATGCCAAGAGATTTGGAGAGACAAAGTTTGACTCAGTGCCAGCAGAAACAAAAGCTTCATTTTATTTAATTATTTTCAAATGCTATACAGGTCACATTTGTCAAAAGGAAATGTCATTTATTTTTATTTTTATTTATTTTTGTGGTCAAGGATGACAGTGTTCCTTAATGATTATTTTAAATTAATAATGCACTTATCATCCCAACACCAATTTTTCAATTTTCTTACTTGCTCCATTTGTTTTTACTGACTATAAAGTAGTTGTTTATGGTTAGATTCTTATCCTCTTCTAAGTGTCTAATGGAATTAACATTGTAGATGTATTTGTTAGGCAATCCTCAAATCAACAAAAAGGGAATTTATAAATGTCATACTTGATTAAAGAGCAGAAAAATAGTTTAAAGTGCAAAGGACACAGTCCAAATGTTTTCCTCAAAGCACTGTTTGCATTTAAATGTCTTTTTTGACACTCAGATTCTTAATAGATTGATGTTTCTGTCATCTTTTTGGGAGCTGACACCACAAACAAAAATCATTATTTTGAATTAGGTCAACTCATTAGAAACTCCAGGTATAGAACCAGATCCACACAGGAAGTGTTTCTTTCATTGGCTGCATGAGCTTCTATGAAGCCAAAGACAAATTCGTCTGAATTTCACTATTGAAACTTTGCTTTCATCTTATGGTAACAGCACTTCACTTCTCGGCATGTTAGCTACCCCTTTACTCCATTTTAGTGTCTCTGGTGTGTTTCAGCTTCTCCCGCCTATTTTCCATTTAATCAGCTCTCCCAGGACTCAGGTCCGGGTAATTAGCGACTGAAACTTTAATCACCGTGGATTCAGGCCAGGGAGAGCCCAGCTTTTAAAGCGGACACAAGCAGAGGATGAACATGCAAGTAAAACATTGTGCAAAAAAAAAAAAAAAAACTGCTTTGGTATATTGAACCATTTATTTGCTCTCAGTCTGTCCAAACAGAGTGCGCATATCCAAGCGTTGCACAAGAAAACAGAACAATAGCCGTCTAATGGCTTCTGAGGGGCCTTGTTGACATAATGCTGAGCTAATTGTTGCATAGCAGCATCACACAGCTGAATGAGAAGGTTGCAGTTCCCAGGAGATCCATTGATGATGATGGTACCCCACCTCTTTTGTCACGTCTTCTAATGTCCAAATCATCGCTTTTATTCTTCATTCTCACAGTGGTCATGGTCTCCGTGATGACATTTGTTTTATTTCGTTGCAACATCTCATTTGCATAATAAACCTCCTTGAAAAATTATTCACATTGATGCAGCCCAGCCCAACTCTTTATTGCACATTTTAACGTACAGTACATATTATACTATGTGTGCATAGCACTTGTTAATTATAGCACCGGCTATTCTCCCGGACACAACGCCCACCGCAACAAACAGATATGAAACGAGGCCCTGCAGACACCCAGTTTTCAAGAATATTTGGTGATTCTTGACTTACTTCCTTCTTACAGAGTTCATAAAGCAGTACGTCATTGGAAATGTTAACAGATAGTTGACAAGAATATTGTATTTCCATATGCTTTACGTGAGATGCATTTATTTCAAAGTCCAGAAAAAAGTTTGTAAACGAAGCCATGCATAGTTTTTGTTGTGAAAGAACCGACATTGAAATTGACAGTTTTTGACAGTGCAAATTTACCAACTTTTCCTTTTAAAGCTACTGTAGATGGACCAGGTATATATGTCACATCTGATACCGAACCTTCAAATTAGTCTTTTATTGTAGTGGTCTCACAAAAAAAGTGTGGCAGCTTTTTTTTGGAGCTCTTTTTGTACTATGTTTCTCCCGATGCATAGTGGAAAAATAAATATCTTGTGGGTCACAGTTCCAGTTATTTTGGTAGTTTTAAGAATTGCTTTGACTGTAGATTTGGGTTTTCATGATACTACTATTGACTACTTAATATTCCACAACATTTATGATACAGCAGTTATTTCTTTTTTACTTTGGAGATCAGAAAGGTTGTTTTTAGCAGTATGACTATATTACCCTTGAAACCTAGCAGCTTATGCAACAGCAAATTATTGTCCTCTACCTCCAAAAGTGACCATTAAACTATTATGGATCTTCCTATTATGTTGCAACTAAATTACAAATTACAGGAATTAAGGTCACATAGCCTTGTGAAAAAATTATGTTTTGAAAACCCAGACTTATTACTGTATTACAAGCTTTATATTCTTAAAACAGCACGCCATAGTGACTGGTAACCACTATATAAAACTTTTAAAAAGTATGAAGCTTCTAGTAAAACCTTATTTGCTGTAAAGATGCAGGTTAGCCACTCAAAAAGAAAACCCTAAAAAACTTTACTTCAATGTACTTTTGAGAGTTCAGTCAAGAATATGGGCCAATTTTTTCCCAGCAGCTAATTTTTTAATTAGAGGATTTTATCCTTTTGTTGCAAAGTGCATCCACTTTGCAACAAACTTTAGTTTGGGTGTGCAGGTGTTACAGCAGAGGCAGTGCATCATGGTTAATATTTAAGGTCCATGGTTTTCATCTTCTTCTTGTAATGATGCTTCCTGGTGTGATGCACATTCCCACTCTCCTCATGAGCGGCTTTGCTACAATTTATGTTAATGCACACATAGATAGACACACTCGCTAGTTTCTCTCTGTCCAGTTTTTACAAAGAACAGTAGACATTTTGCTACACGCAAAACAGAAGAAACATGAGAACAAACCGACCTCTCATCACATTAAATACATGTTCATTAAGTGCCCATTCAGCAGTCAAGTCCCCAAGCAAAGCAGTCTCCTCTCCGCTGAATTAGAACAGCTTTAGCTCATGTTTTCCAATAGTCCCACTGTACGCCTTCCTGGATTGCAACTGGAAGGAACCTAAGTGCTTCTTGTTTAAATTGGCCGCTGATTTGAGGTGACAGAGCAGACATGCAAGGTGCCTCAGCAGACCTTGCGGCTAGCTGACGAGAGGGAAACGTGTTAAGTGCATGCACTGCTTTTGTTTTGCACTAAGCAAGCACAACAAGGATAATCACTCAGCTTGGATGGTACACTTTATTAGATGAGAAAACATTAGCTAGCTCTAAAACCTAATTTCTTATGAGATTTTTTGTGAAAACAATTCAGTTTTCTTAGCAAAGATGTTATTTTTGAAATATTTTCTCTCCTGATTGATGTCCTGGCAAAACAGGATTTTACTCCATCCAGTAAGAAGTATTGATGTCAATGTGTTCAGCTTCTAGCAAATGCCTGCTTACAAAAGTATAGTGCTTTTCCCAATGTATTCACACCCACTGAACTGCTTCACATTAACAGCATACACTCTAATGTGATTTGTTGGGATTTATGTGGCAGACCAATGCAGAAATAAAAAGAGGAGGGACTAGATTTGCGTTTATTCCCCTTTGCTGTGGGGCCCCTAAAAAGAATTCAGTGCAACCAACAATTGTCTTGTGTTGATAATCTGTTCCTGTTTTGATTTTATTTTCCAGTATGAATTCAAAGCCAAGAACATCAAGAAGAAGAAGGTCAGCATTGTGGTGTCTGTGGATGGAGTCAAGGTGGCACTGAGGAAAAAGCAGAAGGTGTCCCAGTCCCAGAAAACTCTACTAGTTGAAGTTATAACTTTGTATCTATGTGTAACGATGCTAATTTATGTTTTATACAGAGAAAAGAATGGACATGGGATGAGAACAAGATGTTAATCATGCATGATCCAATATACAGGTAAGCTGAAAACTCAATTGTAGATTAAAGATCTCCTCTTGTGGCTTCCAAAATTGGTCAGAAACATAAAACGACCCGGACCTGTTTTGATAAACAATATGCCAATACATAAATCTGGAGTGACTATTTGCATTCATCCCTCCCTGAGTTATTTTGATTGAATTTGTATCTTGGGAGTGGATTTTGCCCATTCTTCTGAATATCAATCAGATTGGATGGATAGGATTTCTGAACTTAATATTTTTTTATGTTTTACTGTAGCTTCTGAATGAGATTCAGATTTGAACTGGGCATGCATAACCATGATCTAATCTAACCCAGTGTCAACCCTCAAAGACCTCAAACTGGGACCAACTTGCAGGCTAAAGAGGATTATGTTTTTTTTTTTGTTTTTGTTTTTGTTTTTTAAAAAATGTAAAGTCAAAAAGTTAAACTTTTCACACTTTTACTCATGCTTGGTTATGTCATTATTATTATTAGCTTTAAAAGTCAGTGGTAGCGGGCCTTGTGGATCCTCTTGACGATTTTATTTCACTGATAATTTGAGCCTGTTGTCATTATTTCCAGGATTTTCTATGTATCACATGACTCCCAGGACTTGAAGATCTTCAGCTACATTGCAAGAGATGGCTCCAGTAATTCATTCAGATGTAATGTCTTCAAATCTAAAAAGAAGGTACAGTTTGGTCTATTCCTCAGTAAGTGCAGATTGCAGAGAACTTGCACCTATGGTTGCTTATTGATGGGATCAAAATGGGTGATGCTCTTTCAAGATGTTAATCCACAAGCTGCACAAGACTGCGGTAGTTTAGTGAAGGAATTTCACCAAAACACTAAAAAACAGATAAAAATTGCTAATTAAAATCACTGTATTCAGTCCAGTGCTAAACTATTTGCCCATTTTTTTTCCCTTTCTTATTTATTATGTGTGGGGTTTTTTTAGATGTTTTATCCTACTTTATGTTGTCAGACAGCTTATATATAGGTAATATTTTCATTGTCATTGTTTGGCAGTCATCAGGTGTTGTTACCTCTAGTGAATTTGAACCAAAATATGTGATTAATCCCATTATCCAAACTCATGTTGGTTTGAATTTCTCAGTCAAATTATTAAATAAAGTTATTTGAAATCTATGTATCATATATTTATTTCTCTAATATTATAAGTATTTTGATGGTCTGAAACATTTTAGTTTGAGAAAAAGGCAAAAACAGTAGAAATCTGTAAGGGTTTAATGCTTTTTCCATGGCACTTAATTTTCTTTAATTTTAATAAAAGTTTCCTTTCGAAATTCATTTTCTGTTCATGGCAGCTCAACTATTTGTTTTGAGTTTTAAATTGGATCTTGAATTCAATTTTCATTGGCTTAGTTAATATTCGCCCACTTAGAATGATAGCCTGCAGTGCATACAAACCAGCTGCGCTAAAGGACAAGGAGTACAAATGGACATTTTAGAAAACCAGCTTGTCCTTTTCTTCTTTAGAGACCTTCCTTTGTGTCTGTCATATATTATCTCAGCTCAGTTGTTCCATATATAAGTCATATATTCTTTTTGACAAAAAAAAAGATAACCGAATAGTAAAATATGTTTCTGTGTTACTTCTCTTTTGTGTAAGCAGAAGCAATAAACAGATATTCTTCCATGTCAGCCGTGACCTAACTTTTCCCTCCCTCTCAGACTCAGGCCATGCGTATTGTGCGAACTGTGGGTCAGGCGTTTGAGGTTTGCCACAAGCTGAGTTTGCAGCATGCCGAGCAGGAGCAGTACGCCGACGGACAGGCGGACGGCGATAGCGACAAGTCAACGGAGGAGTCCGGCAACCACGGTGAGGACACGCTTTCTGTAACAGAAAAAACACACTGATGAATACGGACGTTTGGGCTGAAAACTAATGCAAGGTGCTGTCTGATTGCCGGAAGATTAACTTTGTCTGGCAGAGAAGCCGAGAAGGATTTATAGTGTGGAGAGGAAATTCCTGGAGAGTCCTGTGTGCAGTTTGGTGAATGAGTGTCTCCACCTGCAGGCCCGCTGTGCTCTGAACTGACACCGGCTGAAAGGCCGCCTAGCGAGGAAAAAGCCAGTACTTCAAATGCAGAGCTGAGCAGTAACTAGTTAAAACGCAACTCAGAATTTGAGCAAATCTGACACACACACAAAAAAAATCAATTCTTTGCTGGAGACGTTTTAAATTAAGACAAACAAGATACACTTTAAAGTAAGATAAATTTAAGAAGTTGAAGTCTAACTCAGGGTTTCTCTCTTTAATTTCTGTAATGCTTACATAGATTCTTATGTAAGCATTCCAGAATTTGTTTTTGTCACGTGAGAAAACAAGTGCAGTAATTGTCAAACTTTGTGGGTTATTTTGGTGAGATGTCGGCACCTGTTGGGAACATCTGACACACATGTGGTGACACAATTAGCTCTGATCCAATTCACCATCAATGATTAATCCAGAATCTGTCAGCTCTGGCATCTCTACCTGCTGGTTGTTGGTGTGTCGATGATAAAAACGAGTCCAAAGTTGATTGTTTATGCATAATTCGCTGCAGTGATCTGACCTGGATACGAAGCCCGATGGGGGCAAAAGTTGACTTTTTGTTTCAGTCTCAAGCAGAAACAGAAGAAGACTGGGATTAAAGGTGTTATTTTTCTAGTTACTGTAACCTCAGAAGCTGTGGATAAATTGCTTTTCATTTCTTCGAACTCCAGCTGCTCAGTGGAACAAAACAAGCAACAGACAAAAACAAATGGCTTGAGATACTTGGTTTATTTTGTGTTCAATTATGTTTTTGTTTTTTTTTTCATTTCAAATCTTAATTGTAGATGATTCCAGAGTTGTTATTATAATTAATACACTGTGGTACTAGAAACCATAAGATTGATTGAATTACCATGCATTCACCACCACAAGGCACTTCAACCTCTAAATATTTGGTTTCGGTAAGTAAATTTGACTGGGGCTTCTAAAATTACATGTCTATGTCTTATTAGAGGTAATATCTTCATCAAACTTTTTAATTTTGACCAATTATCCTACAGCACATCCTGTAGGATATCCTGTGCCACATCCTGGTAACACATGATGTGGCACAAACTTAAGACAACAACAGTCCAGTTTCTGTGGGCTGAAACTCATCTGAGCTAATAACTGTAATTTACACAGTGAGTCCGTAGCTCCCTGGGATCGAAAAGCTCTTCATTACGCCTGGATAAATTACTGTTTGTTCCAAAAATAGCTTCCAGCTGTCATGCCATCTACGTGTAATACGAATTTAATGAATAATTTACCATCAGACATTTTCACATATAGGAGTATTGTGCATGTGTGCGTATGTGTTTTTGTTTTTTCTTCCTCCGCAGCTCGAAAACTCACAGCAACTGAGCAGGACGAAGAGGACGAGGATACAGATGAAAGAGAGCGAAGAGGAGGAGGAGGAGGAGATCCTTCAATTGATGGTTCGCTGTGCGAGAAGGCAGTCGGTGAGATCCTGCAGAGCCTGGCAGAGCTCAATGTGGTCAAACCAGGCCAGACAATCATGGTGAGATGTTCAAGGACATACTGTCACACCTTGAAACAGTAGAGCGACGTAAACTGAAATAGGAGTTGTGAGTTGTACCGTTGCTTCAGTATTAACAGCTCTAACGTTTGTGCTTTCGAATTACGGAGCTCCGTATTTGAAATGTGCTTTTTAATTTGAGCAGATGTAGTTGCAGTTGTAAATTGATACTTATTTTACTGTATTTTCAGAAAGAACTCATGGTTTGGGGGATTAGGTGTCCCTCTAAATAATTTGAACAATTTTTAAATCATCTTTTTGTTGCATCTTGTCTTGCCTATCATAGAATTTCTACACATATATTAGATTTCATGAGTGGCTTTTAATAAATAGCACATAATGTATATATTTGGAATATTATGCTTTAGATTGTAAAAGAATAAACAGTTACATATTTTGTGCTTGTAAAAAGCATTTAAAACTCAGAGTGTTTTATTTTGACATCATTTTGAAACAAGTTTTTAACGCACATTTGTTTGCAGGCCAGCCACACAAGCTCTCGGGTGCTCTCCAGGCAGTAAAGAGTGCATATTTTCAAAGATATGTGGCTCTACTTTAAAAGCAAAAGAGCAATAGTCTGCCAAGGAAAATCCTTTTAGTCTGCCATAAAAATCCCTAGGAAGATATAACCTTTGCTGAATCACAGAACAAAGTCGGGAAACTGGCAACAGTAAAGTTTGGAATTGATTTTATTTTCATTTTAGTAGTAAGAGTCTTCCTGGTTTGAATGATTGCAAGTTTCCTGCAGGATATTGACTCCGCTCCTGCGATTGAACGTCGGGTTTTTGGCTTTTTGAGCACAGAGCTTCCAGATGGCTCATTAAGCTTAGCAACTGTAGAGTATCTGACAAGATCATTACCCTCAGCTCTCCATTGATTAATACCAGATAATGTTTGCGTGAAAAGCCTAGCTCCTTGTTGCAGCCGATAAATAGATTACATTGTATTTAAAAGTGTAAAGCAGTTATGTCTGATGCGTTGACAGACGGGACACCGACCCTGTGGGAGATGGAACTATTACGCTGCAAAAAGACAGGCAGGGATTAGCATGCGGAACCTGAATATTCCTGCGCGCCTTCTAGAAAGGGGGAGACCTAATCCCAAAAACCCCGTCTGCTCTCTTTGATTTCTCAGAAACGACACAGTAATCCATCTGAAGGGTTATCAAACATCTGCTCTGGAAGATGAGCAGAAAGCCACGTGGGGATTGAACAATGACATTTTGAAAACTTAAACACTGTGATGGAAGTGATGCTTGTGTCAGGTGTGGAGGTGAGCCACATGTGGGTGGGGAACATTTTTCATTTAATTTTTTTTCTGAGAAAAGAATTCTTCCAGAAATGAACATGGATTTCTGTGATTGGTGCCTCCTTTAGAGAGCTTTTGCTGTTTGACTTGAATAAAAGGTGGTATCATAAACTAAAACAAGGATTAGTAAAATTGTGTAGTGATAACTCAGGACTAGGATTTTAAATCACTGCCTGTTAAAGATATGTTGAACAATAAGATATCCTAATTAGGACTCCATGAGGATTTCTCGCTGAGGAGTCTGTGCATGTGTCAGACATTTTGCCTAAAGTTGTGTTTTTAGCACATCTTTATTTTACATAGACTAATTGGAAAATATGCTTTCAGGCTCTTTAAGAAAATGTGTTGTGGTCCGTGACACTTATGTCATTAATTAGATATGTGATTTTAATTAGTAAAAATATCTAATTTATATTCCAAAAATATATATTTTTTATTTTTTTATTTTTTATTTTTTATTTTTTTTGGCATTTTATTTATTTTTTTCAGAAGGCAAGGAGGCTGTTTTAATAAGAGGCCTCTTATTAGTCATTCACCTTGAGCTTCCTTTAGTTTTTGTTGTGCTGCGTTTCCCTCTAGTGGTGGAATATGGGCATTACAGAATTGCGTAGACTCATTTAGTATGCCGGCAGAAAGAAGAGGTGCAAATATAGATCCCATGTGTTTTTGTGCAAACACATCCTCTCACTACACACTTATGTTTCTCAGTGAGATCCCAGACAATATGCTGATTTACTCGTTTTCTCCATTCGTCTTGGTGGTGTGAAAGAAAAAGCTGGTCAAATTTCGTGACTGCACTTTTTCCTCAGGGAAAATTATGGTATTGGAGATCAGCTGGAAAATCACTTTAAAATTCCCATGGGGTAAAAAGGGAGAACCACGAACCAGAGTATTTATGGGTACGATTTGAAACTGAGCTTGAATTGTTCCGTTTATTGTTATTAGACACAGCTGGTCTGAGATCTGATATTTGGATCTCCACCCAGATCCCTGTGCTGGCAGTTTATCCGTGGCATTGATTAATTGATTTAGCAATCAATCAGTCAATAGCTGTGGGATTTGAAAAAAGAAGACAGAAAAACACTCATGATCTCTGTCTGTGTTTAATAATATTTGTCAGGACATCGACAGACGGTCCGTCTTCACTGTGACGTCTCAAGGCATCACTCCCAGCAGCCCTTGCTCTTCGTCGCTCACTCCACTGGCTTCTCAGCACTACCTGCAGCTCCTTCAGCAGCAGCTGCAGCAGCAACAGCAGCACACTCAGGTGGCCGTAGCGCAGGTAGGACACACAGCGGCAGCCACACGCATTTCTTTCAATTGCTAAATTGAAAGAAACAATTTAGCAATTTTGCTCTTTCCATCAATAACTATATACTTAAATAAATATCATGATAGAGACGTGATCAATATCAATAGACAATACGTCTGACAGAAGATTCAAGAATTTCACTGAACTCCAATCTAAAAATCCACAGCATTCTGGGGGATGTAGGCAGAGGAAAGACTTTAGCCGCTCAACACCTCACCGCCAACTAAACAAAGTGTGTGGCATCAACCAACAGTCTCTAGTCACCTTGCAACAACCTGTTGAGTAACTTGCCTTGCAGCAGTGACGTGCCCCATAGCTGCTTTAGCATAGGAAACAATGGCATGGAGTAAAAACTTCAGATAAACCAGGAAAGGTCAGGTCACCAGTTTGGCAGTCTTTCAGATATTTAAAACAGAAGAACGAATCAATAAGTATTGATATTGACTAATTATGTGGCCCTGAGCCTAGAGGGATGCATGCTGCAACATCTCTGAATGGGTAGCAATATTTTGATGCTCCTGCAGAACCTGTAGCTCCAAGATTCAATCCAATCCAACTTTCTTAATAAAGCCCTTAAAAAAACTGGAGGGGACTAAATATAGACTCCCAGCAGTCTCCATTGCTGAACAATACAACAATAATCTGAACAACAGTAAGAAATGCATCCTCCTCCATTTTTTGTGTAGAAAACATGCCCAGTGGCATCTCTTTGCCAGTAACTTTAAAAGCCATCAGAATATTTTAAGTTTCAAACATCTTTCATTAGATGTTAGTCAGTAAGGACTTTAATTTTTTATCAAGAATCTGCCAGTTGAATCTGTTTTACGACTTGAAATCTTTCAGGTTTTATTTCACCTGCAATTATAAAACAAGTAGATGTTGATTTTATTCCCCTAGGAGGCAGCACTGGAACAAGAATAAGTACAGAAAATAATGAATGTCAATTAATGGGATCTTTGAAAGCTGCATTAAATTGGTATGTATGTGAAACTACCAAATTTAAGTCAATCAGCATTATGAGCATAAAGGACAATGACAAAATTCCAGTTCTAGAGTCACACAGCTCTTCTGTGGATGTGGTGGGAGGTGAGACGCAGCAGTAGATCAGGGAAGATCATCAAATTGGCATTTTTAATGGATAACATTTACACACAAGCATATCCGTTGTGCCCTTCGCTGCGGCTCCAGGTGCAGCTGCTGAAGGACCAGGTGGCAGCAGAGACTGCAGCTCGCATTGAGGCCCAGGCCCGCATCCACCAGCTGCTGCTGCAGAACAGGGACCTGCTGCAGCACCTGGCGCTGCTCGTGCAGCAGCTGAAAGAGATGGAGGGCCGCTCCCCCATGAGAGCGCAAGAAGAGCAGTCGCAACAGGACACTCAGGCTAACGGACACAGTAAGTGACCCGATGGACGACTGGAAGGGACACCAGGAGTCTTTCATGCATACAATGTCAGGTCAGCGTTTTCAGGTGCTGCTGTCATTGTTGCTCGCTCCTGTCTTCGCCTGTGGGTGAAGCAGACAGTAGCAACACAAGCATCACTTGCTTTCTGTGGCTGTCTGCCAATTTAAAGGAAGGGTTTTAATGGTGCAGAGGCTGTTAGGAGTCCACCCTTCCCTTAGTGCTACTTTCAGGATTTCACTTGTCAGTTCAGAAGAGAAGGAAACTGCCCTCCAGGTACAAGTAAAGAGCAATTCCATAAATCCTTGATGATGGTCAGGGCTTTTTATATTACTATTATTTTTGGCTAAAAATATCTTTTTAGAGGAGGCACAGCCTTTGATTTTTTTTCTCCAAAAATAAACAGAAAGAATAAAAGTGGCTATTATGTAGTGAAACAGAACATGGCTTCAAACCGGGCAGTGTCCAAGCATTTTACTTTGAGCCGTTGTTTGACTTGGCAGATTAGATTTCTAATTCACATTTGTGCTGTTGGATAGACTTCTAGCTCGTATGCTTCCATAAAGCTTCCAATTGCATTTATTAATTTAACCATTTTTGAAAAATATTTTGATGCAGCCCAAATGTTGGATTCATCCTGACCCAGCATTTTAGGGAAGCAATATTCATAAGATACATTTTAGACAACCAGAAACATTAATCCAATGTTTGACAGAAAAATCAGAATAAGCAATAATACAAATACCATTCAAATTCGGTTTAATGGTGGAGGCTATGGTGTCTTAAAAACAATTGACAAAGTTATACATTTAAAGCCCAAAATTAATATGATGAAAAACAAACAACATTTTCACAATAAATTATGTTGTTTTCTGTAAAAAAAAACAACAACATAAAGTCATGACCTGAAGGTCAGCTGCTGAAGGACCAGAAAATCCTGAGATTGGCTCCAACGTGACTTCATAAGTTGATTTTTATTTCTGGGAAGCCATGAAACAAAACAACTTTGTCCTGCTGTAAAACACACAAGATCTAGTCGAGGCAGTGAGCTGCTTGACCAGGGTTTTTATGTGGTCTTATTTTTAAGCTAGAACAGAGTCTTCTTGATAGAAACCATGGTTCAGACTGAAACTGGCAAGGTGAGCGGCACAATAAAGCAGCATCATCCCCGTTGGGCATGTAGATGTCTCATAAATCTCTGGCATCTTTGACACTCTAAGGTTTGCAATAGTCTGAACTGAATCAAGGTCTCAAAATTTTTTCACTAGCTTATGATTTTGGTAGATGGTTTACGAGAAGCGCAGCAGAAAGGCTGTAATTGCAAGGCACAGAGAACAAGGTGGTAGTTGAATGTTAGCAAGATGACATCCATCAATTAAGCAGTAAACACGGACTGCTACTCAGGCCGATGTCCTCCACAAGCAACGGAAGACAAAATGATCTGCTGAGAAGGCGTTGCTTTAAACGCAACATTTACTTTGCAATGTTGCCACTTTTTTAAGGTCCAATAACCGAGTGTGAGAAATGTTCCTGGACTCGTCTTCGTTTTATATGCCAATCTTTTCTAACACGATTTCACATTTCAAACTGTGCAGAGTTGGTTTTTACTGCCTTTTATTAGCATTAAGGGAGAGTTTCATAAGATTTAAAACCTTTTTTTTATGGCCTTTGTAACTTGTTTTTATACATCTGTTTACACCAGATTAAAAGAAAAAGGCTGATCTTGCCAGAAATGACCACCGTTTCACTTGGTGCAGTGTGCATGGATGTGTCTGTGCACATTTCTTATTTCTTTCTGTGTGTGTGTGCAGTTTAATTTGTCACGTTGTGTTTCATGCTTGTATTAGTCATGTCATCCCCTCTGATAGAAAACGACCTGAGTGGGGCGAGTGGGACCCTGCCAGCTTCTCCTCTGGGCTGAGTCAGCTCTTTGGGGGATCATTACAAAGCAAATAATAATAATAAATAAGCCAACATTCAATTTGTAGTCAACTTCTGCCTTTAGTTTCCTGTGGAGTCTAAGGGCAGCATGTTGTACTCTCTGTCTGTTCCAGATGCTCCACAGACGACACAAAGTTGGGAATCATCATCAGCGAAACCATTATCCCTGAATCTGAAGAATCCGTACAATCAGAACTTGGAGCCGCTCATTTCCTCCACGGCCTCGTGGCCCCTCTCTCCAAACCAGGTCGACTGCGTGGAGTCCTTCCTGAACCTGCTGAACCTGGAGAACAGCAGTAAACCAGCAGCCTCGTTTGCCGAGCGGGACCCTTTCATCAGAGCCAATGGCACAGCGGATAACAAGGAGAGCTCCAACAGTGAGATTGTCCAGTTCTCATCGAGGAACTCTGCCAACCTGGATGAAAAGTAAGACTTCAGATTTTATGCTGATTACACACACGGGTCCATGCAGGTTTGGATTCTAACATTAATCTGGTGTAGAAATGCAGGAGGATAACGCAGCAACTTTAAATACTAACACTAAACAACCTTACATAAAGCATCCTGCTTATTTAGGATTATTATAGTTGACCAGCATAAATTATGTATTCTGAGCTAGGAGTGGGGCAATTGTACTCCTACCACATATATAGGAGTATATTTTTAAAAAGATACAATCAATGTAAATAATGGTCAAAACCTACAAGTTGTTGCTACTTTACTGACAGATGGAAAGGTTACCATCACCATCAACTTTATAAAATACTCAGCAGATGTCCCTGAACAATCAAACAAAACTCACACACTATAGTTTGTTTTATAATTTTGTTGTAAATTGTTGTGTTACTGGATAAATTGCAATGTATCCTTGCGACAAGCGTTCTTCTGCAGTCCATATACTTCGTTGTGATGTGTTATAGAGGTATTGTAGCTCCGTGACCCAGATAGTCATTAGTCGATGCAGAAGTATAGGTGGGGGTGTTTTGTTTGTTTATATATCTCCGTGCGAAATCTTGACTGGAAAATCACATTTCTCACAACTTTTTGCTAAACTTAATATAATGCATCTATTTCCCTTGACTGTAAGGCCCGAACCAGGCTGAACTTGATCCGTAGCGCTTTATAAAATTCTGGTAGGTCAACTCTGTGACCTTTGGACTGAAGGAGTCAGCCATTTTCTTATCTGGGCTAATTCTCGCCAATCATCAAGTCAACCCAAACGCAGTTCGGGGCAACCAGGCGATAGTGACATAAACATCCAGTTGCTTTTACTATTATTATTGCTGGAGAGCGGCACAGCTCAGCAGAAAACGGCTGTACTTAATGAAAGAACAAGTGTAATCAAGGGATTATTTTGGGAAGAAAAAGAAAAACTCGAGTTAGTCGAACAAAGAAGGGATGAGATTTGAGCTTAATAGCAGGGATCAGAACAGCCTGTAAGAGTAGAAGATTTAAGAAAAACACTGTTACTCTGTCAGCTTTAACTCCCGTTTCTGTGTCTTTCTTTTTTTTAAAATCTAATAATTCACTCTAAACAGCTTTTAAAGCACATTTAAAGAGAAAAACAGCCACTTTATTCATGGGGGTGATTAATAATGAATGCATCTAGCTTTTAAGGGGTACGGGAACTTTACTTTTCTTTTTTGCACTTGCAGCACCTCCACTTCTGTACTTTTGGGGATATGTGTGGAATATGTGACTCATATTGTAACTGTAGAGCCAAGGCTCATAATCACATTTTGACGAGTTTTTAATCCTCTTAAAAAAGCATGCACATGAAATTATGAAAACTTTACAGGACACAAAGTCTTTCTTTTCTTCTTGTTATGCTCCGTTTTCATTCTCACTCCCAGGGTTTGCTCTACTCAGAAAATTCTGTGCAGATTCTGTCTCAGAGGGCAGCATAGTAAAGTTGATTTCAGAGCCGAGAAAGGAGGACAGATCTGGGATTGACTTAGCAGAGCTGTGTGTGTTACTGGTATCTGCATGCTGTAATTCTATACGTGTGTGTGTTTGTCAGTCTGCAGCCTAGCCCGACTCCCATGCTGTGGTTTTCCTACTGCACTGACTCCCAGGCAGTTATGGTTCTCATCCCTTTACAAACTGGACCTCTTTCCTGCAACAGCATGCATCTCAGTGTTTATGACTAATACATATACTAATAAAATTCTGTAACTTGCTATGGTTTCTCATCTCCTTGTATCTTACCATATTTTCCGTTAGTGTCTCACAAAAGCTGCAGATAAACAAACTTATGAGGAAGTCGCATTTTTCACTGACGAGATTAAAAAGTAGCGTTTCTTCCTATTTTTTCACGTACACTTCTGCTTGCCTCATCATCATCATTTTATGCAAATTTTACTCATAACACACTGAGTTCAGTGAAAGAAAGAGTGAAAAGCGGAGAACTTTGTTTTCAACTTTGAAAAATGAAATGACAACAGCTGAACTTTGGTGACCTTTTAAGAAGCACAGTAATTTAGTGCAGTGACTCAACAGCTAAAAACAATTAAAGAATAAAAAATTCAAGTGAGGTTGGAAAATGTTTGGGGAAATCCAATATGTCACTCTGCTGCCTTGCCTGACTCCTTTGCATCACCTTTGCTGCAGTCAGACCGCCCTCCTCCACCGCAGCACCGCATATTTTATTGCTTTCATTTTCTTTTGTTTCCTTGATTCCCCTACTGGATTACTGTTTACAGCCTGAGTGGCCAGATTTTATGTTCTGCAAACTGGCGGACTAATACTGCTCCTCTCTCGCCGGTCGGACCTTTTCCCCCAGCCCCTCTTCATCAACCAGAGGATCCTGACTTCCCATGAATCATTCATTTCACTTTTACAAACTCGTCTCCCATTGTGATCTACATTCATACTCTCGTCCTCTCTGTTGCCGAAGAATGCAAACAGCCGTGTACGACCGGAGTCTGCTTTGTCATACAGATCAAGTGTGTGGTTGACATTAGTTGACATCAAAATACAGCTCAGTCTTAAACCCGTGACGCCGACCTCTCTGGGCTCCACCCTGGTTGTTCTTGTATCGCAAATAAAGCCAGCCATACCCGACACCTGCCAGCTTTTAAGACTCAAGCTTTACAGAGCCAATAGCAGCATGGAGTGGAGCTCAGTGGGGTCGATGTGGGGCCACACATAAAATATGTGACAGACAACTCTTAAAAGGTTAATCACATTTGTGCTGTTTGACTTCTTTTAAGTTTTGTTCTACTCTAGAGCGTTACTACTGCTGAATAAAATACACTGAGTCAATGGGTGACCTATTCTGTCTCAGCAAAACATAATCTGGATAGAGTTCTTAGCTCCACATCACCATCATTCTTCTCCCACCGTGCTTGCCAATTGAAATGAAGTGTTTACTTTTAGCCAAACATGCCTGCATCAAAAACCAAGTGACCTTTCCTTGGCCTTTTCTCTTATTTAGAAAATAATCCAAAAATCTGTCAGTTTAAAGAAGAAGTATGCAATCTCAAGTCACGCTGTCATCTGCTTTATAAGAGAAACATTCAGAAAAAGATATTACTTTTTTCTTTTTCTAATTACACAACTGCAAAATTGCTGAGTAGTAAAGGTAGTTTCTGTAAAAATCTGAATGCCTAAAATCAATTATTATATAGGCCTGTCAAAATAAGCAATAAATCACATGATTTCTCTTTCAACCAGAATCTGTATGGTAAAGGTCTTCAGTCTGGTGTTTTGGCATCAAATAGCTCTTTTTTTTTCTTTTTGAATGATAATTTTGCTATCAGAAACGTCATGATTAATTTGACCTGTTGTCTCGGTGTTTTTGTTTATTTATTTTCTGGATATTTAAGATCTCTTCCAGTCCCAGTGTTAAATGTTCATTAGAATTGAAAGTTGCTCTTTGAATTATTATACTGTTACCATTATATCATTATACAGTATTACTTCAAAAATGATCTCAAAATAACAATATCGTTTATCCCAATAACTTCTGGGTCATTCAGCAAAATTTATCATCACAGGCTCATATCATTGGTATAATAATACCAATTATTATGACATAATAATTGGTATTATGTAAAATTTGCAAAAATATTGACTCCACACTTGATGATCCAGTTTTTTTTTTCCTGGCTACCATATGTTCAGTTGCTAATAGCTATAGCCTAGCATGCAGTGAGTCACACTTTGCACAACAGATGGAGGAGTTACATGTGGCATGGTAACATCAAATAAGGATGTCGTAGTAATCAGAAAATACTTTTGCTTCCAGAAGCTCCACTAAGTCGTAGGAGGATGACTAAAGTCATTATATTCTCTAAGGATCATGACTGGCTGTACCAAATGTCTATCCTTCCAAGATATTTTATTTGACTATAAGTGATGATCTGTTTAAAGTTTGCAATCCCTCGAGCCGATTGAGCTAAAAACTGCACCCTGACCACACTTAGCAAATATGAACATAAGTTTTGCCCATCTCACCATTTGAGTCCAGAGAATCAATAACAATCTCACTCACAAATGAGCTCTCCATGTGCGATAAGAACTGCTCTCTCCTCCCCTTCCCCCTTTCGCTCCAGCCGTGTCGTACGGCGCACAATCGCATTTCCTGAAATTATCTGTGATTTTTCCTTTCCCTCTGTCACTTTTGTTCTGCCCCTTCATCTTTAACATCGCGGCTGGAGCTGCACCAGCAGATTTTGTCGGCCGATAACCCAATTGCACAGGTTCGATGGGAGTGTAATAGATGATGCTTCCTGGCGTTTAGGCAGAGCCGGTACTGTCAGCTAGATTTACACACAGTTATGTGGAGCTCGCTCGGAAATAGATACTATCAGTTGTGCCTTTGGACTTGCTGATGGTCTGAAAATGATCTTCTATAGGGAGCTCAAGGGTTTGTTAGAATAATGTTTGAAAGGGACTCTGTCAAGCATTGTTGGCATACTTTAGAAAATCACTGATAGAAGTGTTGTCATTCTTCTGCTGAGTCTCCTGATCACCCACGTACATTCAAAATAAAGCACAAGTGTGATAAATTCTTCACAAAGCCAAAAAACCCACGGTCTCTTATCTGGAGGCGAACCAACCACATGCTGTCCACTTTTCAGATGCCTCCGTGATTCTGCTTTTTGTGTCTGAAACAAAGACTTGAGTAAAAAAGGGACATGTCTGTTTAGAAGCCCAGCGGTATTTCCTCCTATCTACCTGTTGAAATGCGACGCTCCTGCCGATTCTTTTCCTAACAGGAAGCATTCATGCTCCCCTCTTGATTGCTCGCTTTGTTCCTGCTTATTGAACGGAGAAGACAAACACGCTGTGCCTCTGTGTCATTTCGACTTCAGACTCCATGGGGGGGGGGGGGGACTCATCGGAGCTTCTGCAGCACCTTTGCTACTCCGGTCTCCTCATTAACTTTTCAGTGGCATTTAATTAGTACAAAAATAAACAGTTTCCCCGCAGGGAGGAGCCTGAAACAGCACTGGTTGATGGGATCCTGCCAGAGGTCCTGTGAGTTTCCAGTCATAAACAAATATTTGTTGGTGGTAGTGCAAGAAACACAACAGGATTGGGATTTGGACAGCTGTCAGTTTGCATATTTATAAAATCTAAGTTGAAGGAATACTCATGACATGTTCAAACTTGAGAAATAATTGTGTCTCTGCAAACACCCGCAAAGAACTGGACAATAAAGGTCAAATATTCACAAATGTTTTGTAGATTATTTCAGCCATAGCTTCTTGATTTGGCTGATGTATTTCTGGTGTAAAGCTGCACGCTGCTGGTTCCTGTCTCGCTGCTGCTGCCAGTTTATGCATGTTTCTCTTCACCCCTCCACCATCACCATATGACAGATCAGTCCCTCTTGCAAGTTTCTGCACAATTTTAAAAACAGTAGAATAATCTGCAGCTGCAGCACTCTCGTTAGCACCTTTCTGATAATACTTTTTGATCATTGGAAAGATTTTTGTCTTTCAGTTTTCATACAGCATTTCATATACAGAGAAAGGGATCTTTGCACTATTTCAAACTGTTTACCGTAGTCCTAATGAGATCAAAGCTCGATCCATACTGTACAGTGGGCACCTTACTGGACTGCTTGATGCCCAGTCCTACTTTACGTTTGTCTGGCCAAAGCACACAGCAGCCAAAGGCATTTTGACAAGTTTGCATTTGCGATGTTACGACAGAAAAGCTTCTTTTGCAAACTTTCCTTCCAAACAGAGCCTGAAAATTAGACAAAAATCTGTCTAAGCATTGTTATAGCCACCACTCTTTGCTGCAATTTCCTTTGGGGATTTTTTAATGTCCCTATCTGTCCAGCTCATTGTGCATAGTGACAAGATAAACATGATTCCTCATCCAAAAATAGATTTATTTCTCGCATTTTATTCATACCACACTGAAACATAGCATGGATTAATAATCTTAACACTATTAAATGCTCTATTCAACTTAAAAAAATGGAGGCCTGAACTGTGGGAAGATTTTGGGAGATACTTTTCCTGCAACAAATTTCTCTTTGGTCCAGCAGATAATCTTAAACTGGTCACAGTGGGAATATTTCCAAAGTTTGATCAAATCGGCCGTGCTAACTGGAGAGTCTTTTTGCATTGTGTAACACTGAAGGCATGAATTCACATTAGCGAGAAATACCGACCAAACCAGCAGCTCTGCCCACTTACTTAATTACATTCCTGTCTCCCACTGTGTCCTTTTTAGATTCTGCCAGAGAGGGAGCCAGGGTTTTAAATGTCCAACACAAAAGAGGCTCTGAAGTCACAGATGGTTGCATGCTCACTGGCCTTAAAACTCCTTCCTCCCTCGCTCGGCTCCTCCGATCGGCCGTAGTCTAACTGTTGCCTTTCTTTGGTACAGGTGTGAGGACCCGCTCCTGCTCATCCTCCTCCTCCTCTAATTCCCTCTCTGCCCCCCATAAAAACCCACCCGGCCAGCAGCCGCTGCCTCAAAACCTCCCAGCTCATGCGTTCCATATCTCTGTCCCCACTATCGCCCCTCTCATCGTTTGCTGCCTCTCCCCCCAGGAGCCTGGGGAGCTCTCTGCCATCCCTTCCTCTTCCTCCCCATTCCTCCTCTTCTCCCCTTCTTCTCCCTCTGTGTGAGTATTACTCATCATAAGCAGCATGTGTCTGTGGCACAAGCATGGGACTGGGCATGTGGTGGGTGTGGGTGTCTGTGGGCTCGAGTGTGGGACTCACCAGAGATTTTTCTGCTAACGAATGCATAATAACTTCTATTTACATGCGGATGTTGCGCTTGCAGATTAATAACCACATTAGCATGGGGATCATCAGTCACTGCAGTGCAATTTGGTGCATGGCGGCTCCTTCTCCAACACTCTGGGTGGGGTTTCCTCTTTTATGGACTCGCTTGCAAACAATAAATGCTCTTGTCCAGGTTTCTTATCAGAGGCGGTTCAGGCCGAGCGGTAAAGCTGTCATAGCAGAGGCGGCAGCACGTCTTTGTGTGCGCGCTTTACCCTCGCACTTTTCGTGATCCAATTTAAAATGTGTGTCTTTGTCACTTGCATGCTTAGCTTTGCTGACTCAACGCTCTTTCAGATGGATTATGTCAAGCCAGTCTTGCATCGGAGCTCCCCGTGTCAACGACACACATAGTTTGAAAGATGTACATAAATACAAACTCTTTTAAGAATTGCTTTGTTATTTAAATGAGAAACAGAGTAACAACCATTGCTCCCTGCTTCCTGCTGCACACTGCCATATTGCTGGCTAAAATAATAAACACCACACATAAGATATTAAGTCTTGGAAACCAATTGCCCGTTGAAATAAATTATATTTACTTGTTATTTTTGTCTTTTTGCCTTTAAGAAAGAGGAATTATGAATTACTAATGAAGTATTTATCAAAACTCAGATCAACTTAAACAAGTAAATCAAGCATTGAATAGGCCGAGGTCACACTTGTTTTATGTTAAACGTACCAATGTGTGCATCAGAACAATTTCGCTAAGTATTATTTTCTCCGGAAATGAAATAGAAAATAAAAAAATTCAAGTAATGCTAGCGCAATAACAGGTGAATAAACTTTAGCGCTCTCAGACAATAAATATAGAAGTTCCCTGCTGCACCTGCACTTATCCAGGCAGGCTTGATGCATGCAAACACATTTTGCTTTTCATTTTGGAGGCAGAATGGAGGGAATGAAGCAATTTGGGAAGAGGTGGGTAAGTGAGGCAGAAACTGGTTTCATTTCGACTTGGCAATGAACAAAAATGGTGAACAAAAAGAAGCAATTTACTCTTTCTCTCCACTGCAAAGAGCTTATGATTTTAATAAAACAATATTACCTTGGTAATTGTTTTATAAGACATAAAAGCTATTTTCACTGTTAGAACCACGACAGACCTTTTTCAGGTATGCCTGAGTATCATTTCACTTTGGCGGACCTAGATATGAAGCATTCCTTCACCAAGTTACACTTCCTGGCAATTTCCTGTTAGAATAGAGTCAAGCAAACTCTTTTTATTATTACTTTTTCTCATATCGGCATTAAGTGTAAAAGCAGGTGCATTTGTTTAATAGATTAAGAATTGTGCCATTGTCTGGAGCGACAGTTTTCTGACAAAAATTATGCTTTTCAGTCAGCAGATGATAAATATAGCTCACCAGCAACACTGTCAACAGCATTGATCCAAATTACCACATGTCAACTTATTTTGAAAAACGTCACTGTCATGAATTATTGCCTCCTCAACTCAGGGAAATTTCTATAAGTAGCTTTACTGTACCATCCTTTCTACTTGAGTAAGATAAGTTGAAGTAATGCTAGTCATTTCTTTTCCTACTCTACCCACCTCTGTTCAGCGATGCTTTACATTCTTGTCCTGTTGAGTCAGTTTACAATTACCCCATAGTGCATAGCTGACAACATGTAGTCTTCAAAATAAAAAGTAAAGTGCAGTGCCCCTTTTTCGGTTCAGAAAATAAATGATAAATGTGTCTAAAGATGATTTCCCTAGCTTTGGTCGCCGTCTTGTTGAATCAGACACTGAAGGCATCATCAAGTTCTGTGATTTCATTACTCAGAAATGAACTTAACCACAGACCGGATCTCTCGGGGGAACAAAGTTAGCAGTCTTATAACTGCGAGGATCCTCAGAGGAAACGGGCCTTGTTATCGGGAGTCATTTTTCCAAGAGGAGGACGATAATTGTGTGTGGATGCGTGCGCTGGTGCTTGTCAAGGCTTTATTGTGGTGAAATCAGCGAGTCCTGTTTCTTCTCGCTTCCTTACCCGCATCCCCCAGGCTTTGGCTCTTGTTCTTCCCCAGAGGCTTTCTATTTTCACACAGTGAGCCTGTGGGCTGTAGATAAGTTCCTTGACAGACAGAACAACGGCGAACCAGAGCAGGAGTCAGTGTCTTGTGTAGGACTAGCTTATGTCCCGTGCACTTAGGTTAATGAGGTATAATGTGAATAATGGAGAGGAGAAGTGGCTTGAGGCCTCATAGTGGGGAAGTGATGCTGGCTTGGAATTGGCTAAAAAAGGAAGCTAATGGTGTTTTCTCACCCTTAGTTTGGGTGCAGATTCGATTCAGCTCGATTCGAGTGAGGACCAAAGTTGCGATTGTTACATTTTCAGAAGTTATAATTTGCTTTCACACTGTACTGTGTCAAATTATCCAAAGTGAAAAACATGTCCATCCCTCATCTGTACTGAGGGATCGACCCAAAGAAAACACTTAGAGCAACTTTCTTCAAGAAATTTCAACAAAAATGGATTGGCATCAGATTTTGGTGATTGTAAGATTTCTCTTTTGTCTTTAGTAAAAGACCACAAGCCATTTCTCCCTTTATTGCTAGACTCTCGCCTTTGTTTGGGTTGTATTTACCAGGAATCCCATGACCTTTGGTTTGCTTCCTGTTTTTGGAGCAGTCTCCAATCAGCTTGCATCCACATATGTATTCGACCTGTGCCAGAGTTCAGTTTAATGGAAACTATATGTGGTTTTTTAGGCAGACCAGAGTTCACTCTTTTGGTCTACATTAGAGTTTAATTACACATTCACACCTACACAAATGAACTGAACTCTCTGCACAAATTTAAATGAGCTGGAGTTTAATTGAAGTGGACTAACCATTGCTGGTGTGAATGCACCCTAAATCAACAACCACTATTATTATTAATAGGGTTTTTCTTTCTTTTCTACTTGTAGGTATAAAGAGAAAATACCCAAACTTGACCCTCCTCCACCTTCCATAAACCGCAAGCGATCCAGCAGGACATTCTCTCCGGGGTCAGAGGTCCCAGCTGTGCCCACGCCTGCAGCCCCGAGTCGCAGCAGCAGCCTCTCTTTCCCGGACATCACCCCCTGCTCCCTGTCGTCCACCGATTTCCACTCGCTCAGCAACGGTGAGAGCAGCTCCTCCTCGTCTTCGGCCAGCGAGGACTCTGGCGTCCGCTCCGAGACCAAGTCCCTGCTGTCGCCCCTTCGTGACGATGATGACCTTTTTGCTGACCACGGGGCATTTTTGACAGCGTCCAGCAGCTGCGGAAGTCCCCTGGAGCAGCACGGCGGGGCAGGCGCTTCGTCCTCTGATTCGTCAATTACGGAGTCAAACACCATGGCCTCGCGTCCTGACAGCGGTGATCGGCCGCTGTGCTTTTCATCTCCTATGAATGACACCTGCCTTCATATCAGTTTTTCGGAGGATGAGCTTCTGGAGAGCAGCCAGGAGGACACCAATATGACCCCACGGAGTTAGGATGACTTAAATGTTATTCAGTCAACGTAAAATAAAATCCAGGATTTGCTTTCAGACCCTACTATGTTTGCACAGGGCTTCCATTTCAGGATCTTAAGTCGTTCTACTCACCTGTGACACAGTGCACGTGTTGCTAAAACGCTTGCTATTGTATCAGTAATTAGCCAATAAATAGATTCAGTATTTTTGTAATAAAATTTCTGATCTAATTTACTTTATAGGGCCTAGAATGTTAAGCAGAGTACATGTAGCAATATATTGCACTGTTGACGTCGTACTGAATTCACTGTAGAATTCTACACTAACAAAGGAAACACATTTTATTTTTGCTAGCTGTCGACGTGGAGCCGCTGTTTTGTATAATGTTTCACTTTGGTGCAAATAAGTGGAAAAGGACGATAATTTGTCAAATTCACAGTTAAGACTAGAACAGGGGATCGAGGCGATGTTGGGAAAAGTTTCATCTCCTGCAGTGCAGGATGGGAAGAAAGGAACAAGGAGGTCAGTGATCGGACAGAGGAGAGATAAAAGTCAGTCAGTTTAGTTGTTATGGTTGTTCTTGGGAATATGGTCAGGCTCACATTCGTTGTTTCTTTTTTTGTCAAGAGCAAGTGGGATTTGGTTATGTTGAGTCAGATACAGACTGGTATGAAATGTTCATGCTAGAGTAAAATACCACAGGATCATGACATTGTGGTATCACAATATCTACAGTATTGTGATACCACAATCTGAGGTACTGAATGGTTTTATATAAAACTAAAAGCAAATACGAGGAGTGTTGCAATACGTACACGTCTTAAAAGGAGACAACATACAATGTCAAAACTTTACAAGAAACAGAAATTTCCATTTTTATGTTGTCACAAGCAGCACGGATTTAATAAACAATCTAAAATTATCATGAAAATAGTTGTTAAATTGTAATAAAATAATAAATCTGAAACATGCCTTTATCTGCAAACTTTATCTGCAAACTATAGCAGTTTTTAAAAAGCTGCACTTTTTTAAAACTGCTATAGTTTGATGCCACACGCGTGTTTTGTGTTGTTCTTGTTGTATCAAGATGTCCCTATAGCAGAAAATAGATCAATTCTTGACATGACATTTAACTGTCAGGTCTTTCTTTTTTCTTTTTTTCTTTTTTTTTTTTTACATTTTTGTTATCATATCAACAGCTTAATGACTAAAAGTTGAACAAAAAACAATCCAAAACAAAGCTCTGTTCTGTGCATCTCCAATCAACTAGCAAAAAAAGTACATATAATTCCCCTATTAGTAGACACACATAATGCAACAACACATAGTTCTACTTCGGGTGTAAATGAATTTTATACTCGGAAGTGTAAAAAATAAAATCGTAAAATTGGGTTGACCATTTTTCTTAGTGTGGGTTAAAGTAAAACACATTTAGAAACTTCTGCAGATCGGCAATAAACAGCTGAGAAGTTTATGTGTTCACTTTGCTGCTTTGCTATTCTTTATGGCTTCGCCGAAAGTGCTCTGTTGTGAACTTTGATTAGTAGATGGAGAAACACAATAAAAGTGGAGATACGAGGCGAAGCAGCTGCGGGGGGATGGAGGCGATGGGTGCAGAAGTAAAATGTCCTGAAGGGAAACATTTTACACCAAAAGATGAGGCTTTTCCCAACATCACGTTTAGCAGGGAGTTTTACAACACTAACAAAGTAAAACACAATAAAGAGGTGGAGCTGAAAACTATGGCACTTTACTCTCTTTTTTTCCATTATTTATTCTCAGGGAGCCTTAAGGTTTCGTCTGGGCTTTACATTACCCTGCACACAGAATGATAGAAAGGTTAATGTGCCGTGTATGACGCCTACGTTCACTGGACTGCTGAAATTACCTGTCTGTGCACGTACTTCATTCTGCAAGTCAGCTTTGTTGACAGTCTTCTATATAATTTCCTGTAACCGCAGTACATTGGACCCACAGACTGAGCCGAAAGCACCAAGAAGCTTACGTATGGTAGAGTTTTAGAGAATTAGCTGAGTTAGCAGCAGAGAAATCCTCCCTGGTTTGTTGATAACATTTGAATTGGATCTCCTTGTTTATAATTCTCCAAGTTTTCCACACAAGTCACATTAAGGCTTTGTGTCACTTTTTCCAGAGGTGCTGTCTTCAAGCTTAGCAGTTCTCTCTGCCTTGCGAAAGCCGAAAAGCATGCACGCGCAGCACATGCTGTCACTGCCAGGCATTAAGACGAGGCTGAACGGCTTATTGCCCTCAAGGCCTCCATGCAATGCATTTATTAGAAATTAGGCAAATAGGAATTCCCTTTGCTATGAGGTATTAAAGCTGTAATTTGTCCCAGAGCAGCCAGGATCTCAAAAGTGAAAGCAGCATCTCTTGGCACAGCAAGCATAAATTATGGATACGGTTGCATGTTTTGTAGCAAGAAATGCACCAATCAATCTGGCAGAGATCAGAATCGACTACATTAAAGGCAATCATGAGCTCCCATCATTTTCAGTGTACTACTGCTGTTCAAAAGTACGTTTTCATGATGCTTACATTTTTCAAACCATCCAACTAATTATATAACTGGAGTAAATACAAAATGATAGTTTCATTTATTAAAGGAGGCAAATATGTCATCCCAGACTGTATGTGAGAAAACAAATGACATCTTCAAATTTTGCTGACAACCGCTGTCGAGCCTTTGAACACTGACGACGGTTGAGAGAAGCAGAGACTACGGGCTCTGGATGCTCTGTTTGTGACTCCATGAGTGAATTGTTGATGCACTGTTGGAGACATGTTGGTCATTTAAATTGGATAAATGACCAATTAGTCCAATGATCATTGGATAAGTGGTCCAATGATCGTTTATCATGTATCCAATGATCAAAAGGCAGAGTTTGACCTTCTGAGATCCTTTCATGTTGCCAAACAGAATTGAAGTGTTTTTTGTTGTTGTTTATTATTAACAAGTCAGACAGTAATCATTCCAAGGTGAGGAGAGTGAAAGTGAACCAATAAAGGTGGAAATCACAGTTATTGCTGCGATTATGTCAACATAGATATTAATCTTGTGTGCTTCATTTTCTCTCAGATTCTAAATTGCTGCATCGGAAAAAGAAATTCCTTTACATGTATTTTTTTTTTTCTTTTAAAGCAAAATGTTATCAAAAAAGTCCAGATCTGCAGCTCAGACCTAAGAGAACACCAGAAATTGGTAATGGCGAGGAAAGGCCTCGATGCATCTCTATTTATAACCACCTTCCAACATGGTATTCCCCAACCGGACAATCAATGATGCTGTCAGGCCGTCTCGCCTGCACTCTCTCCGACCATTCCAAGGAGCCCGTTCAATACCAGGACTGCTTCTTGATCTGCGATCAATGTGATGCAGCTCTTAGAGCCACATGGCAGCTCCGGCTCTGAAGTTTTACACAGACGCTCAAAACGCAAGGCCATCACACTTTACGCAGTCATTAATGCTGCAGAAGAGGCATTAGCCTGTGTGAGGAGACCGGGGCGAGCCTGCCAGTGATCAAAGCTAATGCGAGGCCGGTGATCACAGCGACGCGGGCGAACTCAACAAGCTCTGAACTGCCACCAGTTGGTCTGCAGATAAAGTAAACAGGGCTGACTGTATTGTTGCTTTTTTCTTTAATTATTCAAGAAGGCTTGTGCTCTGAAATTTCAATCTGTTATCTACATCAGAGGAGATGTCAAGACTAAAAACCATAAAGAGGGTGTAGTTTTTTTTTTTTCTAAATGACTGGAAAAGGCCTTACTGGTCAGAAAAACGTTAATTCTTTACTTCTTTATAGTGAAGGGTGAAATAAACAGTAGTTCCAATAAACTGATATAATAATACATAGCAAATTCAAAAGGTGTTATGCTTTAAGTTTAGCATGTTTTGTTAATTTGTGATCATTTAGGCCAGTCTGCTGCTGTTACCAGGCAAGTTAACAGTTAAGATAAGACCTTTACTTGTTATTTTTTAGTTATTTTGAAACCAACAAGTCCAGTTTAGTTCACCCTATCCACTGTGTACTACTGTTTTTACTGGATGTGCATATTGGTTTAACTACAGGTTTACATAATAACTGTATGGAAAATTTCTATATGTTTTTAAATGGCATTTCCACGAGGGTTTGGCCGTTAGATTTTTCACACTTTGATTAATTGTTTTTTTAATGTACATCTGTCAGCGAAGCGAGTCATCGTGGTCTTAAATAAAACACGGAAAAGTGATCCGTGCAGCGTGAAGCCAATACTTGGAGGCTGATTATTGATGAGGAACAGATGGAACTGAATATAGATCGACAGTCGGTCTAAGCAGCAGGAAAACTAATTCAACAGAGGACTGACAATGCAGCAAGAACATAGCCAGAAACCAAACTAACCAGAAAGAGGAATTTGCCAAAAAACAAAACCACAAATCAGAGGATTAAGGTTCTCCTGCATCTTAAGTGTGTATTTTATTTACATACTTTTTTTTCCTTTTTACCTGTAGCAGAATGAGAGAGTCACAGATAATACTCTTAGCTGAATTTCTATCAGGCTTTCATCCCTGACATCATTGTGCTGTTAGGAACCTTTTGAAGTACCTTGAACGTAAAGCTATATTTCTCGTCTGACCCTCTAGCAGAAACAATAACCTCAGGTTCAAGATATTTCTTCTCACAGAAGAAATTTCTTATTTGAGGTCGAGAGAAGAAGTAATAATGTTTCCTCCCTCTACTATTCGAACCCGATGGAAAAAAGGTCATCCATGCTCTCTGAAAGCCAAGCATCTCTCCCTACTTGCTTTCTGATATTCGACACAGCCACACAATTTTCTACAATTTGCAATGACTGAGACGGGGTGCTTCTTTCATGATGTTTGAGCAAACAGAAAGGCTACAGGAAGGGTCAGAGCTGAAGAAGGTTAACTGAAGGGTGCTATATCCATGCTGGTGAGTCATACAGCAACTAGAACTACAGTTGTAGGATTTGGCAATAAGCCGCACTCTCTTCCATAGAAAATAAAAAACGCTTTTAAAGTGTGCATATCAATCCTGTGCAAGTCTATTAAATCTATCAAAAAAACATTTAACAGGTCTTCCTCCGTCCTCTATGTTTCACCATAGGGATGACGTCGAATTAAGTTTTCTGGCATGTAGATCCAACAGTTCAATTTCTCTTTCCACTAATCCATAGAAACTTTTCACTTACATGTTTACAGTGCTCTTAACTTAAGCTGACACCAACTTTCTTCTTGTCACTTTTCCATAAAGGCCAGCATTTATAGTTATAACACATAAGGAAACTCTTTTTACAACTAGAGAAGATCATTTTATTTATTCAGTGTTGTCAGAGGAAAGAGGGCTGACTTAAAATGCAAAAACTGTGTGCTGCTGTGTGTTGCTTTTTCACATAGTACCAAATCAGAGTTAAAGAAATGCTTTTTACCGTCAAGCAACGGAAAACATAAAGAGTCAGGAAGTGGCTCACAGGACATTCTCTTATCTATGTGGATGAAAAAGAAAAACAGAAAAATACAAGAATTTTTTGTGTTGTTTCAAACCAATGTTTTTGTTGTTGGTATTGTAGAGACCGAGCTCCTCGTTCAACACAGAGAGAGAAAATGCAACAACAATCACAAAAAAAAAAAACTGCACAGATTTACCCCCGAATGAATAACAATGCAAACATTATTTTTTTGTAAGCAAAATATCCAGCGGGCCTCTCTGGGATATGATAATTGATAGTCTGCAGAGAAAGCAAGGACGATGGAATTACAGCATAATATTTTCTCTGGCAGCGCCGACTGAGAGGTGCAGTGGTTTCTCCTGACTACTGTGGGCGACGCGCGGCCGTCTCTCGTTGCAGCGCCGTACATCAGAGCAGAAACTGGCACAGATTTCAGTCTGATCTGAAGACCTAGAACTGTGATAAATGTTTCGCACTCTGTGATTTTTTCTTTCTCGGGGGTTGGGGGGGTGCACTGATGTGTTATTTTGCTGCCCTGGAAGTAGTTTATGAATTTACGTATGTTTAAAAAGACAAAAAGGTTGCTTTATGATGAAGATTCATAAGTTTCTGCAACACAGCAGGATGTCTACATCACCAGTCAGGTCAGAGAGGTCACAATAACTAACCCAAACCCATATATCTACTGTGCCTCATATATCTAGCTCAACCCTCTCAATCCCTCTGTGACAACCTTTAAGCATTGACAGATATAATTTAGTGCCACCCTAAGTTTGCAGCAGAGCTAACAGCTAGGTGATTCTGTTTGCCTCAGAGTTATTTCTTCAATTCTCTTTCTTTGTGTGTGTTACGCACTCAAATGCTCTACAATTTTTCAAACCATTTTCCACATGGTACACATGAACCCAATAGCCTGTTTGCAGACTGCTTTCTGTAGTTAAATAGATTTATTATGTAGGGTTTAAGCGGGTGTAGCAGGTTTTCTGTTGCAAATCCTTTTGCTCCACTAAAAAAAAAATCCCAAAAAACATGACAATGTGGATTTATGTGAATTTACCTGACAGACGGATGGCAACAGGAAGACATCCTGCACATCACTTGTATTTAAATGTAATTTAGGTCGCAGCCACTTCTTCCGCAGTTCCTGTTGCCTTGTGTTCAAGCTTTTTTCAGATACAAAAGAAAGCGCTCCCTGCTGACACCAGATTAGTGTTTTTATTCCCCTGACTGCTGCGATCATTTCAGCACTCGGCATTGTGGGATATGATAGGCAGGAGAATGGACAGCAGATTGTTGAGAGGTTTATGCTTTTGAATGAATGAATACAATGCAGGAGTAATTTTAGCGATGATGTCAAATGAGAGCTTTTTGCACAAAAACACGGTTTTAATGCCTGCTGACTCTGGTTCGGCTTCAGACCTCAGACTGCATTGTGTGGTGCCGTGACAATTAGAGGAAGATTGGGAAATTTACATTTCCATTTAAAATTCTTAAAGATTTGGTCGTTTGTCTTTTGGTAGCCCGAAAGATTTCTACAAAAACTAGAGCATTTTTCTTTTTCATTTGTATTATTTTCAAGTTGATCAGAGTGGCCAGCAAGTGTAATTATCGTTCTATGATGTCCTGTTTCCCTGGTGTCCAAATATGATGTGAAATAGAGTCCTGACAAAAGAAAATGGCTTTCATGTAACCTCCAGATTCATCTTGAATCTGGAGGTTTAGAGTTGATCTGGCGTAACTCTGAGATTTTTCTTAAATATTTCTCTCCCTGGATGGGAAGGACATAATAAAACTGTGGACTGATCTGTTGCAAATGGCTTCACAAAGTATAAAAACGGTAGGAGTATGGCGTCTTTGTTGTTCTAATTGAGGCTGAATTTCCCTTTTTCATTTTCTGATCGTTCGATGTTCACAACATCGAATGATTAGGGACATCTTAGCTTGTTCCTTCTAGTGCTGTCAAATGTTTAATATTTAGCATTTACATCTCAAAAAAAAGAAGAAAAAAAAACAACAGAGAAAACCCAGAACATTCACATCAAGGATCTGCATCATTCCTGTGATACATGAAACAATCAGAGAATCTCGTTGCATTTGATCTCCTTGATACTCTCCTTTTGAGTGTGGGAAATGTTTGGAGGAGTAAACCTTTGAAACGTTACCCCTCTGAATTTAGGTGAAGGGTTTTCATATGTGATAAAGCCAATACACAGCTCAATCTAGCTCTTTTTTTTTCCACATTCGATTGTTCAAGAGCACGATTACGGTTGTGTTTAAGCTATTCCTTCACGACTTCCCCTCAAGCTAAATCGCAAGCTCATTTGATGATGTTCACTCTGTGACTCCGATAATATCTGGGACGTAGTAACTAGCTCTCTGTGCAACCTCCACAACCCGTGTAATTGAATCCAAGCCCCATTTAATCAGTCCACTTCACATTATTTTATTCACTGTTTTTAACATAGTGAGGAGGCACCAAAAACGATCCAGCCGATCCATTAGACGGGATAGGCTGGAAAGCAGAATGTTTATCCTCAAATTACTTGTCTGAAAATTAATTCAAAACACAGCTGAAGGAAAATGAGAATTTAAAACCA